TAGTTGGGGTAGTCTAAAATCACCCATACCCCAACTTAAGGTCACCAAATGACAGACAGCGGTCTTATTTTTCAAACAACATGTACCGTATGCTTCTCATGCATAAACAGGGAAAGTACATTATTTGTAGCATGATTTTTTTTTTTAAATGGTACAAACTACATATTTGAAGATTTTCTCAGATTGGCATATGTAGATGGTTCTACTTTTTAAATGAATATTCAGGGTCAAAGTCCTCGTGTAAACTTTTCAGAGACCATTTTAAATTTTTTTTATTCTTGGGGTGACACACACATGCACACATAATAAACTTAATAACCTTTTATATGATCTTCCTGTGTATTTTGAGTGAAGACTCTTATCTCCTATGCAACAACAGCTGCTCTCACTCACACTGGAAAAGTTAGAAAGCATAATTTTGTATTATGGAGAAATGCTATGGGTAGTCCTAGCCTGGACAAGCCTGCAAAATGAATTTACAATTTAGCCAACTTGCAAAGATGCCTTTTAGACAAGGTTGATTGCGTATTATTCTAATGACCACACACAGCCTATTGTACCGCGCTACGGAATCTGATGGCGCTATATAAATAATAAAATAATATGTGCTATTGTAAATACAAAAATACATAATATCTTTCACTAATTGTGCAAATTGTTTAAATCAGATCTGCTACATCTTTTTTGCAGACATTCTCATGTGCAGGGTCAGTTTATCCCAACAATGGAGTCACCGGTGGGTCAGCATGCACAGGTGTATAAATCGGCACCCGAAAAGTATACAAATATTTACAGACTGTCTCCGATTTTACCGTGCAATACTATGTAATTCATTTCACAGAGACCAGTTAGCAAGCATATTTGTTTAGCTGGGTTTTGTGGAGTGGAGGTGAAAAATGAACACAGGCCTAGTACTGCAACATGTGCAGGCTATGAGCTCAGTAGATGCAGACAGATTGGTTGTGTGCAAGTAATTGTATCTGAAATATCTTCTTGCTTGTTCCCCATTCGTTGCTCTTTGTACAGTTTAGCCTGGAGACATTCAAACACTGATTGATTCTATTTAAAAGGCAGTGTTGGCGTGAGGTCTGTGCTTCTCCTAACCCAATCTTTCTGTACAAACGACACATACCTGTATTTTGAAAGGATGAATAGATTTGCACAATATTGAATGGGTCTACTTTAGTGTTGTGTTTAGATTCTGTGTTGACTTAAGGCAACCCCTCCCAGATCATTATGGATGGTTGCGGGACTCAGGGAAAGGTGAGTTTGCTAACCCGAAACCTGTCCCCTGTAGCCGCCGCCATCTTCATCCAGTTGGTCCTACACAGGTCCTGGCTTCTCTTCATCTTTCAGGAGTCCATGTCCGTGCTGTATTCTAGTGCATACGCAAGACTACAACACTGAGATCCGTGGAGGATTCAGGAAGAACGCAGGATATTACATAAATAATTACTTTTCCCCTACAGCTGTCACTAGTGGCAACTTGGGAAAATGACAAAACTTGACTTCAGTAGCTCCACCTTTTGTCAAGTTTTGCCAGGTGTAGGAAATATACTACGACAAAGTAGTCTATTCTGTGAAATTCCAACATAGTCAATGTGAGTACTTCATAAAGATTTTATTTTTATGAAATACTCATTGGAAGGGGGTGACGGAACCGCTCTCAAAGAACTTAAGCCCATCATTGCGGCATTTATTACTGTCTCCCATGGTGGGCCACATTCCTCTTATGTTTTGCTGTTGTACTGTTTTTTTTTTTCCAGTGGTGACTCAGTGAGGGACATCTTATCAATTATGTACCTATCATCCATTTCTGTCTAGCATTGATGCCCTACAACACATTGATGATTGCTGCTACACATCAAATGCAGCGTGTGTGTCTAAAATAATATCTCTTTCAGGTTAAATGTTATCATAATTAGATTTTTCTTTTTAAATTAATTTTTATTTTATTTTTATTACAGTAGCTTTCGACTTGTAGCACAGTTTTCAGCTATGTTCCATTTACATACAGATCCAAAAATAAATTATTTTCCCTCAAAATAATCCATGTCTGGGGAAAAAAAAGCACTAAATAAGTTCTGTTTGCTCCCTATTTTTAATCGCTATACTTGCCTGTAAATTTCCTCTTTAGGAAAACCATTGTTGGAAATTAGGAAAGGGGTTGTGGAGTCAATCCTATAATAAATGTTGTCTGTCCGCTAAACGAATTTCTACGTTTGGGGTAGAACTGTGTTGAGACAAGGTAGCACTTTATACCACTAGCTCACACGGAGAAGAGGTGTTTGACCAGAGGTCCAGTAATTGGTTTTCTGATTAAACCTGATACCTTCTCATTTGCAGTGTTGGGATCCCAAAAACAGCTAAAAATGTTAGGCAGCTGGGATAGTCTGAGTCTGGTGGTTCAACTGGAATGGCTTCTAATGCTCAAAAACACTGCACCCCATGCCACTTCTTCTAAGGGCCTCCAATTAGTATTTTGGGATAAGCTTTCCAATGGTTTGATATTTTGATTTCCAATATATTAATATATATATTTTTTTTATATTATATATTTTAGATTTTTTAATATATATATTTTTTTATATAATTTGAAAATCTCTTAAAATATTAAATTGAAGCCAATGTTGGTGAAAAAATATATCTGAATTAATGCTAACGTGTTTCCCACCAGACTCCTAGAATGGGTTACTGTGCTCGTCGTTTAATAATAATAATAATAATAATAATAATCTGAGCACCTTGCTTTACACAAACTAATGATACAATTGTACAATGAAGCTTTGGTTGAACACCAAAAGATTGCACTTGTTCTTTTGTCGCCAATAAATCAAAGCCAAATAACTTTTCATCTGCATCCCTTTGTAATTACACTCTTTTTTTTTTTTTTTTTCTATTTATCTCGCTCGTCTGTTTTATCACAATGATTAAAATAAATCTGTTATATAATGCCACGAGAAACTCAGTGAAGCAAACTAAATATGCAGCGGATGGTTCAGAGGCACTGGGGCAAGCCTGCTACACACGATAAAAACAGAACCTTCACCTTAGTGTGTACTGGGTTATGTAACTGGACTCAAGCTTTATGGGCACTCTAAATACTACAATTTCTCTTTAACGCATTCCGTTTCGTAAAATAAATATAATCCCTTGTGCTCAGATCTCAGGCTTCGTGCTATTGCTGTAATGACTCCATATAATTTATATTCCCCTGGAATATCAGATTACAAGAGGCACAAAAACCATTAGGGTGTTGCAGTGGTTATGGTTCTAGAAGACCTCAATTGCCATCCCAAGGAACACTGTAAGTACCATAACCACTTTAGCCCACCCTAAACCAATCAACTAGCCTTGCTCTTCTGGGCTTAGCTCATTTGAAACTTCTGAATCTCCGCATTCGTACTGGAGGCAGAGAGTGGCGCCCACCGGAACACAGCTAAGAATTCAAACTATTTAATGTTTTGACTCTTGAAACAAGGGGGCACCAGGGTACTCCTTGCACCACAACCACTACAGCAAGCTGTACTTGTTATAATGCTTGTAGTATTACTTTAAGATTTAAACCATTTTCGAAAACCATGTAACAATTATTTTCAGTAGAATGAAGAAAAATGAATTGATTCCTCTTTGTATAAATATGTATTTTATATTTTCCTTTTTGACAGTTGTATTAAAGAATATTACAATGATCCATTGTTGTATTGCTCCTTCTGCCAGATTGTCTCCAAGGCTTTATTCCAGGTTTTGCATTTCTCTTCATTCGTGCCAATCAGAAGATTCTGCTAACCTATCAAGTACAGATTCCTCTGCAGGCAGAAGTTCTCTGAAATTCCCAGGCACCCGGAGCACAAGGCACCATCTGCCACAGCTAGAATCGACAATGGAAATAGTTTTCATCTCAAACCAGAAACAAAAGCCAAGTGAGTAATATTTTAAGAAAAAAATATAACTACAACATGGACTCTGATATTTTATGGATATCTGCTGGGAATATTTTACGTCTAGAGCAGTGGTTTCCAATGTTATACTTTGAAGAATCACATACTATTCAAAAGCTTAGGTTGAGGGCCGGAGTCCTGGCATTCACCAACATTTCTCATTTCATTTTTATGACATATATATATATATATATATATATATATATATATATATATATATATATATATATAAAATAGGAACTGTACCTTGCACACTGGCTTCTGAGACTTCCAAGACCGGGTGCATAGCCTGGGCTTCACAATCAATATAGGCAAGTAGAATGGCTGCACTCTCGGATTTCCATATAAAAAATAACTTTTATTATGTTTCCATAAAATCGACGTTTCAGTCCATCTTGTGGACTTTCATCAGGATTCCTGATGAAAGTCCACAAGATGGACTGAAACGTCGATTTTATGGAAACATAATAAAAGTTATTTTTTATATGGAAATCCGAGAGTGCAGCCATTCTACTTGTATGTGTATATATATATATATATATATATATATATATATATAATTTTTTTTTTTTTTTTTTTGCAGTAGCCATTAAATGCTGAATTATGATGCTATAGACTTTTTAGTTTTATTCTAAAAAAGTGGTTTCTTAATGGCAGAGGGTAGATGACTCGGGAAGCCCTGTACCTCTGATTTGACTTCTGTTTTTGGCATCTAGCACTTCACTGTTCCTCCGGTTTGATTGGATACTCTCAACGGAAGAACCAATGTGTAGGACTTTTAAAATCAATTTTGTTTAAATCAAGGAAGGCATATTGCTCACTTTGTTTAGAGCCTTAATGTCCTGGCTCTGAGGGTGGTTGGCGATGGGCGTTGTGCCTATATAAAAGGGATGGCACTTCCCTGAATGAAGACTTCTGGAACTTCAGTGGACTTTTTAAAAGTGTTTGTACAAATTTATTTAATGAACATAAAATTCATAAAAAGTATAAAATACATATAAATAAATAATACAGTATACTACAACAAGTCCTTAACTGGCTGAAACGCGTTTTACTCCTCCTTGAGCTTCCTCAGTCAGCTGTAGTTTGGTTTCAGATAATGTCTTTTTAAACCCCTCATGGATCCTCCTCTCCGGTCATATGGTTGATTGGTCCTTCAATAAAATGTATGTCTTCATTTATTGTCTCTTTAAATCCTTATCTATGTAAATCTATCGTTTCTCTTGTGTCTTTATATGACCATGTAAGGTTTTTCCACCTCATTATCCTCCCTTCTTATTGGAGGACAGTGGTGGTTGGCTAGCAATGTAAACACTGCCTTTTGTCTGAAAAGTCAGTGTTTACATTTAAAAGAGTTCAGGGACAGGATATAGACTTCAGAACAACCACATTAAAGGACTACTATAGGCACCCAGACCACTTTGGCTCAATGAAGTGTTCTGGGTGCCAGGTCCACCTAGGGTTAACCCTGCAGCTGTAAACCTGCTATGTTTACATTAGAGTTAATCCAGCCTCTAGTGGCTGTCTCATTGACAGCCGCTAGAGGTGCTTCCGTGCTTCTCACTGTGATTTTCGCAGTGAGAGGACCACAATGTCCATAGGAAAGCATTTAGAAAGGGGGGGGAGGGGGAGGGCAAAGACCCTATAGAGCCAGGAAAATGAGTTTGTTTTCTTGGCACTAAAGTGGTCCTTTAAGCTGTAGTGGTTCTGGTGACTATCGTGTCCCTTTAAAAATTGTATTTTTTGCGTTGATTTCTCTGGCTCCTAACTTTTCTAGCTGGCTCCTAGATTCCAAACAACTTTGTCAAGCCCTGCTTTATAGTAACATTTGGTTTACTCTCTGAACAGAGACCTATATGTGACCAGGAAAAGCCAAAATGGATACAGCAGTAGGCAATGGCCTATATGTGCATAATTGATGTTGGCAAAAATGGGAATAAAATGCAGCTTGTGTGAAAGACATCTAAACAAATACTGACTTTATAGGCATCATAAGAAACTGAAATCAGGTAAGGCAAGTCATTTTGATTTCCATTAGATTTCTTTTAAAAAATTTTAGAAGAAAGTGTTGTGTTTTCTTTTTGTTTGTTTTGTTTTGCTGTTTAGTTTTTTTTTGAGTTGTGCAGTTCTAAAAATATAAAGCATCCAAAAGCAATTAAAAATCAGAGGGTCTCCGATGAGGACAGACTTTTTGTTGTTGTAGGGCTATCCTCCAGGATAGCGGTGCAGCATGCTGGATAGGTGTTCCTTTTCCCCAGTTTACGATCATGCTATCCCCACCGGAGGTATAGTACCGTCTCAAAATGTAGACTGAGACCTGGAGGTGTTCATGGATTGTGCTCCAGTGTCCGTTGCACTGAGCCTTTATTGAAAGCCTTGCCTTAAGTCTTCATGTAGTGGGAATCGCTGTGAAGTCAAGTAGGTAACAGCTGTGCTTTCCGGGTAAACCGACCCGGAGTAATTCCTATGAGATGGTGCGGAGCAATTGGTGGCATCCGGGGTTTCCGGCTTAGCAGAGTCTGAATGCTAATCTGAATAAGCGGAGAGGCCGCCTGGCGACTGCAAGCCCTTTTTCTCGAGCAAAAGCCAATGCTAGTCAAGAAACAAGATAGCGTGAGGGTTAAGGTAAGTTAGCGGTCGGTAAGCTGCGTGTGGTGAGCCATCTTCTTCTGTCTTGCTTCGCCCAGAAGTTGTCAAGTATTTCTTCAAGCTTCTCCCTAGTGTCGAGCCGAAGGCCTTGGGAACTCAGTAAGTGCCCGGTGTCCGCCATCTTGAAGTGGTATATTGCACCCCACTGGACCCAATGATAGGTGCTGAGATATCCCATGGCTGTCAGGCCCTGCCCCTATAAAAGTGTTCTTAATTGGCTGCCTCTTTAAGTGGAACGTTGTGATGCTGTAATTATGTTTGCTTTCTAGGGCTGGGTTTATGGCTTACATAGAATGAACTTTGTCCAGATACAATGCGTCTGTGCTATACTGACTGCAGGAGTAAGCTTTCACCTCTAATGAAGCATTAAGAGGAAGGTTTTATTACTTAAATAGCTTGACATGAAAATGAGTTATTAAAATGGGCATAATAACCCAAGGGCAGCGTCCTAACCTCAACATCTGAGGAAAGGGATTTAGGGGTAATTATTTCAAAGTTAAAGGACATTAACATATACAGCTTGGAGGAAAGACGAGACAGGGGGGATATGATAGAAACATTTAAATAATACATAAAGGGAATCAACACAGTAAAGGAGGAGACTATATTTAAAAGAAGAAAAACTACCACAACAATAGGACATAGTCTTAAATTAGAGGGACAAAGGTTTAAAAATAATATCGGGAAGTATTACTTTACTGAGAGGGTAGTGGATGCATGGAATAGCCTTCCAGCTGAAGTGGTAGAGGTTAACACAATGAGGGAGTTTAAGCATGCGTGGGATAGGCATAAGGCCTGAAACAGTTGTCCTGCTTTACTCTCCATCATCTCAATATGTTTGGAAGTTGAGAGGGTCTTCAATATCAAGTACAATCCTATTAAAAATTAGCTTAAAGGAATACTATAGGGACAGGAGCACAAATTTGTATTGCTGACCCTATAGTGTTAAACCCACCATTTAGGTGGTTTGCCATTAAAACTTACCTTTTTTCCCAGTGTGCTGGCCCATCAGTACCTCCTCATAGAGATGCATTGAATCAATGCCTGAAGGGAATGAATATACTCGCCAGAACAACTACAATAAGCTGTAATTGTTCTGGTGACTATAGTGGCCGTTTAATTCCAGCTTTAAAGTACTTTGTAATGATGTTAATTGGCTCAACAAATTGTACTATATAAAACTGTATCATGATTTTATTTTTAAATATAAGGTTGGTTTGTAACCCAAATAGAAAACAAAATCATATAATACATCTCCTTTTTTGGGATGTGAAGTAGAAATAATATTTTAGATTTAATTAATTAAATGTAAATTAAATTTAATTAGATTTAATTAATAGAGAGAGGATTGACCACCATAGATGATGCAGTTCTCGTTCTAGTCTGCTGGAGGAAAGGGGGACTGATAAGACTATTCATGTCTATATCCGTACTCCAAGGAAACTAATGGCATAGAAGATATCGCATTGTGCAATAAAAAGAGAAGTCATTTTTGCTGTCATCCTTTGGAAATGTCCTAAGACAACTCTAAAAATAACCAAACTCATCTCTAGTAACATCACTGACACATTGTGACTCGTAAATAACGGATTTTAGTCTGGTTTATTTTGGAAACACATACATTTCTGAAAACATTGTGTACTATCCATAGTGTGCTGATATTTTCGGTGGCAAAATCAAAATGTTGCGTCTTGGTTGTCACTAATAGCAGAGCACTTAGAACAAGGCCAAATTATATCATTAATGCTGAGTAATTTCTAAACACATATACTATAATGAAGTTATGTTGTGTTTCATGTCTTGAAGCTATGGTATATACCAGGGGTAGGCAACCTTTTAGCAGCACTGTGCCGATATAGGATTGTCATGTCCCGTAGCGTGCCGGTCCTATTTTTTTTAAAATTGAGGTGTGTATGCTGCCGTATTCTGCTTGTGTTATTTTTACTGTAATTGCTTTGTATCGTTGTATTTGTGCATATATGAGCTATTAGATTGTACATGTTCATGAGTAGTTTATGGTATTGTGTATGAAACATATGAATGTGGGCTGTAAATGGGGGCTGCTTGTGGAATTGTGTGTGTGGATGGGTATGTCACATTATGTGTTTGGTAGTGAGTGTATGTGTGGGGGCTGTTTGGGGTATTGTATGCGAGAGGCTGCTTGTGGGGTTGTGTGCATGTATGTGGATTGTTAGCGGGTTACGTTTGTGCGTATTGTGTGTATGTTTGTTTGTGGACTGTTTGTATTATTTGTATGAGGGGAGGGTTATTGTGCATTTCTGTGTATATCTAGCAGTGTGGGTGGCTTCCCTGGGTTCCAGTGGGGACCGGGCCGGCCAGATACAGGTCAAGGACAGGAGCTGCAACAACAACTGCGAGCTGCTCTAATACTGTGTGGATTCCCATTCACAAGTGCTGGGAGGAAGTGATCTGAGATCACTTCCTCTACATGCTGCAATGCATAAATTGAGGAATGTCCTTCACCACCTTTTTGGATTAGCAGATATCTGAAGTTTTACTGGGACTTCTGATAGGCCAGAGCCTGTTTGGCTCTAGCAGCCTTGAGTGCCGTGCAAATACACCTTGAGTGCCGTGCATGGCACTAGTGCCGTAGGTTGCCTACCCCTGGTATATACTCATATACAAGAACACTATGCAAGACATAAGGCATAAAGGGAACCTATAGTCCCTGTTGTTGTTTTTTCAGGACTGTAGGTACCCTTCTATCTCTGTCACCACTGCCCACCCTGCTTTGATAGTAAAATGTAACCTTAAATAAAGTTTAGTCACCTCGTTTCAGGCACAGAGACATCTCCCATGCAGCTGGCTGCTCCACATCCAAAGACGTCAGCATGCCTACTGACATCATCCACAGTGGCCAAGTGAGCGACTAAAGGTGAGATTTACTTACCTGAACCTGTCCATCATGGGCGCAGCCATCTTGTTCTGACTGGTCCTCTTCAGCTCCTGGCACTTCGGTGCCAGAAGCTGACTTTAGTGCTAAATTCCTGCGCATGCATGAGAGTACAGCATTGAGGTCTATGGAGGATCCACAGGCATAGCCTGTTCCCTACAGCCGTCACTGGTAACGGCTGTCGAAATTAACACTGTGGCTCCACCCAGAGTCTAAAAAAGTCAGGTGGAGAAAATATACAGGTATATCTCTTGACTGGGTTGAAATTTCATTGAAATTAGAACACTGTCAAAATTTATATTTCATAAAGATTCTGCTTTAAGGGTTTTATTGGCTGGACCACTTGAGATTAAGTAGTCCAGGTGACTTTAGTGATCCTTTAAATAAAATAAGAATATAAATTATACAGTCACAGATGCTTGTAATTCGTTCATTGTTTATGCTGTTGTGTACCGTAATTGGCTGTATATTAATGTATCAGGACTGGGTCTCAAGCTATGTAAAGCATTTATTACCTGACCAAAAAAACAACAACAAACAGATCTAAAACAATACAATAGTAACAAACAGTGATGGCTATAGTGTATACCAATGGTATAAACATTACCAAAAATGTATTTCTAAAAAGAAATAAAATAAGAACCTATCAACGCCTATTACAGACCAGTAGGATCAGAGTGTCGACCTTCTGATAAAGGAACAGTCCAACGTTAAAAACGTGTATTATGTCTAACGCTGCTATCTTTAATGAATGCAGAGACGAGGCTCAGTTTGCTGTCCGCCCGCCCGCACCTCCCACACCTCCCCCCTCTGTCAGTTCCTACATTGGCTTCCAGTTAGATCTAGGGCTCAAATTAAGATTCTGGCACTTGCTTACAAGTCCCTACATAATGCTGCTCCAACCTACCTATCCTCCCTAATACACAAGTATGTCCCGTCGAGGCCCCTACGCTCAGCCCAAGACCTACGCCTATCCTCTGCCCTGATCCACACCTCTGATGCTCGCCTCTAAGACTTTTCCAGGGCTGCACCTTTTCTGTGGAACGCCCTTCCCTTCTCTGTTAGACTTTCACCCAGTCTCCACTCCTTCAAAAAAATCTTTGAAAACACACTCCTTCAGGAAAGCATATCATCTAAACTAAACTGTGGGTTTTCACCCCCCCTGTGACTCCTCTCCTGCAACTGTCAAAAACACCCTACTAAGTTCTCAGTGATTACTTTTTTAGCAACCTATCTCATTACCCCTACTTATACCCTTTGTGTCTCTATACCCCACTCCCTCTAGAATATAAGCTCATTGATCAGGGTCCTCAACCCCTCTGTTCCTGTATGTCCATTTGTCTGGTTACAATTACGTGTCTGTTAGTCCACCCATTGTATAACGCTACGGAATTTGTTGGCGCTATATAAATAATAATAATGTAGATTTAAAGCTGTTTTAAAATTTTTCATCTAGGGGCAGTTGACCGTGAAATATAGTTTAAAGGGACACTCTAGGCACAAATACAACTTAAATGCATTTAAAAGATTGTGGCCGCTTTTTTTTTTTGCAAGCTCAAATCTTGTATGGTATTTGCACAAAAATAAATGTTTTGCAAAACTCTGCACCATAAACCTGCCTCCTTGGCTATGCCCTCTCACTGCAGAGAGACTTCTTTATCAAAAAATATGCACACAGCCCCTGCCCCAACAACACTGAGTGAACTGCTATTACTTCACAACCTGGCTGCAGACAGTCAGAAAAACTGCAAACAAGCAGTGGTATCCTTACTACATGTCTCTCTCTGCTTCCGCACAGCCTCCCTTAACACTTCCTGAAAAAGTACATATTTCTTTTAGCTTTCCTTATTACACTGTGTGTTAGAATTCAAATTTCCTATTTGCTGCTCTGCTAATCACGCCTCCAGTGCGCGATTAAAATTGAATTAACGGAGCAAAGGATTACAACTTCTAAAGTAAACATTGTGCTGTAAGATTTGATTGAAAATTAAACCATTTTTCCCATGCAGGCTATGTGAATCAGAGCCAGGGGAGGTGTGACTAGGGCTTCACAAACAGAAACAAAAGTGATTTAACTCCTAAATGGCAGATAATTGAGCAGTGAGACTGCCGGGGCATTATCTATACACCCAAACTGCTTCATTAAGCTAAAGTTGTTTTTGTGCTTAGAGTATCCCTTTATGTAAGGTATTTTGTACTGTAGATGTAAAGTTTCTTGTTTATAAAAAAAAACATGTGAGTCACTATCCAAACCCGTATTGTCCCCTTTGAAATGTTTTGAGATCGCAGCCATTACCTCAAGCACAGGAAGGTTAGACATTCAATTCAGTCCCTGCTCATGTTTGCTGGCTGCCTCTCCCTGCAGTGCTGTGTCAGTATAAAGTCCATCACACTCCTTGCTGCATTTAATCAGCAGAAGGACAGTCGTGGAAGTCTGCCGCCCCAAAATAACCTTGTGCCTGGGGACCGTGGGCGACTAACCCCCTTC